ATCTTTCCTATAACATATATTTTTTATATATTTTAAAGTCTAGGCACCGGTTTTGTATAGATTGTGCATTATTACACCATCGAGTTTTAATTTCCCAAGATGTATATTTATATTTATTCTGTATTTTTCAGTGTATTATAGTGGGAAAGATATGGTGTGCTTTCCATCTTTGAGGAATTAACACTACTGTCCTATGGGATAATATCTCCCAAGTGCCATTCATGTGCAATGATAAGAATGCGGTTCACCCGCTTTTCATTAGGGTTGTTGCATATGTTGGCTATTGTTTCCCCCATGTGAGAGCCCTCTAAATAGGGGCATTAATTTAATTTGGAACAGTTAAGTTAAAATACCGGTCCTTACTTTTTAATACCGTCCTGCACAACATAACAGCTGTGAGAGTGATTAAGATCCACAGAAAGATGGCACGGACCTGGCCGCACATGCGCGCTATGCACGCCCACCCGCCTTTTCATTACGGTTGTTACACAGGGTTGGCCATCGTTTTTTTTCCCATATGATAATCCTCTAAACAGGGACACTAGTTGAATTTGGCACAGCTATGTTCAAATAACGGTCCTTACTATTTTTCACTGTCCTGCACAGCATAACAGCTGTGACAGTGATTAAGATCCACAGAAAGATGGCGCGGACCTGGCCGCACATGCGCACTACGTACGTATGTCCCTATATAAATCGACAATTATCTTCACAGCAGTGTTGATCCCCCTCTGAAGACGTGCTTTAGCACGAAAGGCCTCAGAAGGCTCAACACGCTGTGACGTCACACCGCTGGAGCCACGAGTTGGTCCAGTGGCCATCTTAGATAAGGGTCAGTTTACTTTATACTTTTATGCAATTTTACTGTGAGTTATAATAAAATTACCTTGGAAATACTACACTATGGGCACCATTTCTATGGCTTCTTTACTGAGCCATTAAGTTGCAGAGCCAGTGGATAGTTTGCTGATTGACACAGTACCCAGAGGAAGGGAATCCCTGTAAGCAGGTTGCAGACCTGGACTATCCTAAAGGGGACCTCTGGATTTACAGTCTTCACCCATATACCGCTGTGCTACCCATACCTTGAAGGAGGACCCTTACCCATCATACCTCACCGAGAGGAGAATATATCAATACGCATATCCTATGCGCATCTGGTAAGTGCGCAATTTTACCATTTCTCCTGAGCATCACCATCTTGATCTCTGGCTCATTTGGATGTTACTATGTCATATGTCTACAGACTTACCTTGATTGAAATCTCATCATGGTCATATTTCTAACTATTTAGCGCTGCACTTTATTATATACACTGTACTTTGTGGGTTTCATTTGGTTACCTTGATGTGCTATCTGCTATTTCCGGAAGCGCTCACTTTGTTTTATTACTATTTTATATGTGAGTAACCTCTTCGTTTTCAATATGGAGACTAGCATGTCAAAAAAAATTATGATCTTGTTATTCCAGCCATGTGTATGAGGCTTTAGGCATCCCCTGCAACAAAAATTTAATTTTTGCCAAGATACTCCCAATAGGAATTATGTTTAAAGGGATGCAGACCCTGCAATTTTCCTCAATAAAGCCCTGGAAGTGCAGTAGTTGATTGATGATTATTAATCCACTCCCATTAAATTTTCCACATGGACACAGACAAACACACAGCTATTTATTCAGAATAAAAAAAGATAGCAATCTGCAACAAAGTTTGGTAAAATCCTTGCAATGTACATGGATCACTCAGAGAGCAAGGTTCTTTTTCTCAACAAAACTGGAGTTACTCTTTAAGGAACCAGCACCCACCAGTGTCCTAGCAACCCTGACTCATCCCTGCTGTCAGAAAGGATTCCCTGCTGACAGCAGAATGTAAATAATTCCTAGTACATACCAGGCCCTTGGTTCTGGAGCGGATTTTGGGGGAACTTCACATCAAAATGTTTTTAAAAAATTGGCGGCGTGAGGCATCTCCTCAATTCCATACCAGACCCGAAGAGCCTGGTATAGACAGGGGGTGTACACTGCATGCTTTTTTTAAAAATTTCTTTGGCCGTGTTGTTTACATTTTGCTGTCAGCGGGGAGTTCCTTCTGTCAGCAGATGAGTCACTGATTGTTAAGGACGCTGTGGGTGACAGCTCCTTAACAACCAGCTGTTCACTTGTTGCTAAGGATGCAGCGGGTGCAGGTTTCCTAACAACCAGCTAGTATTCATTAAATACCACAAACCTAGACCACCCCTTATCTAACAAATGTTTTTGTTTACTGTTTTTGCAAATTTAATTTTAGAAAGGTTTATGTGGTATTTACTGAGTGTTTATTATTTTTTTTGCGGTAAATACTACATAAACCTGTAGTTAATTAACATTTTTCCTAGTGTTTCATATCTTTGGATTAAATTTGTCACACGACCAAAAATATCCTGTGATATCCTTTTGTGAATTGACCCCTATATCACTTTGGACCAAGGTGGTGCTGTGGACATAGCCTATCTTGATGTCACAGCAAAGCATTTGATACAGTTCAAAATAATAATCTCTCAAAAAGTGGTACAAACTTGAACTTAACCATTGGGTGGTTCAATGAGTATGCAGCTGGCTAAAGGTGATTGTAGCCATATTAGTGCACTTGCGACAGAAACAATTGAGCATTGTCCATGATGCTTTTTTATTTGCACTAACATACAATCTTTCAGGACAAACTTTCGGGGTATGTCCCCCAAAAAAGTACTCAATTGTTTCAGTTGGCTTTTGGATAGATATTTAAAGTGTGGTTGTAAATGGAGTTCATTCACAACAGAGACCAGTCACTAAAAGTGTACTGCAAGGCTTTTGTTTTATTTAACCTTTGTCAGTGATATAATTGAAGGTTTTTTGTGCAAGGTGTGTCCTTTATTTGATGACACAAAGGTGTGCAATATGGTGGATATTCTTGGAGGTTTTTGTAACATGGAACATGATTTGGCATTGCTGGAACATTTATCAGAGCAGTGGAAGTTGCAATTCAATGTTTCTAAGGCTCCATTCACACCATTTGCTTTTTGTTCATTTTGCAGTGCTTTTTGCAGTTCTTTTTGTGTTTTTCTACACAAGTTTTTGATGTGTTTTTACTGCATTCTGCATTTTCTTCAGCTCTTTTTTTTTTTTGTTAAAGTGGAATTTATTTTGTTTCTGGGCAGAATAAAAATGCAAAATGCGGCAAAGACACGGCAAAAGCACACAACCAGCCATTCCAGCAGCTTCTATGTTGAACTTTATAGTAGCAAAAACGCTGCTTTTTCCTTTTAAAAATGTCCCTGACACTTACCAAACATGCAGCAGCTCAAAAAAGCATAGATGTGGACATGTTCCATAGGAAACCATGGACTGTTGTGTGTTTCTTCAAAAAGCACTAAAAAAATGCAGTGGTGTGAACAAAGCCTAAATGCAAAACCATGCACTTAGGGAAAAAGAATATTGGGGTTACATTGCTGGCCAGAACTACAGAGGAAAAAGATTTGGTGATACTTATTTTAGATGATTGCAAAATGAGCAAACAGTGTGGCTAGGCAATGAGGAAAGTGAATATAAATCTAGAATGCATCACTAGAGGGATCTCTAGCAAGAGGGTGGAGGTTCCAATTCTACTGTAAAGATCTTTAGTTAGACCTCATTTAGAATACTGTATCCAGTTCTGGAGACCTCACTTACAAAAAAGATATTGATAAAACAGAAGTCCAAAGGCAGGCTACAAAAATGGTGAAAAGTCTAAAAAAAAAAACATGAAGGGAGACTGCAGGAACTTATTCTGTACAGTCTTGGTGAAAGAAGGGAAAGAGGAGACATGATTAAAACCTTTAAGTACATTTAGGTGTGAATGAGGTTCAGGAGGGTAATATTTACATTAAGAAGCTAAGAGGTTCAGGAGGGTAATATTTACATTAAGAAGCTAAGAGGTTCAGGAGGGTAATATTTTCGTTAAGAAGCTAAGATCAAAAACATGAGGAGATGACCTCAAATTAGCAGAAGTTTAGTTCAATACTAACCTTAGGAAGTATTTTCCAGAGTTAATGCATGGAGTAGGCTTCCAGAAGAAATAGTGGGGATGATTTACAAAAGGCACACAGGCTGTTCTCTTTACAAGGTAAACTTCACCACATTCACTAAGCTCTGGGGTAATTTCCCTTGCAAAGTGCAACATCCCTTGTAAAGTGAACAGCCTATATGCCTTTAGTAAATCATCCACAAGGAGTCATTCTACAGTAAATGTATTTAAATATGCTAGGGACAAACATAGATTTATACTCACAAAAATGACCAAAAGCACTTGGGATTTCCTACCATATATAGGTTCTGATTGCCCATGAAATGTTCCAAAACACAAGTTAGGCTCTTGGTTAATGTCCATAAACCAATTAGTTGGTCATACAAACAGATTTTATTCAAATCCACAATTAAAAGATACTACAATACCACGTGCTGAATTAAAATAGGAGCCACACATTGATGTATATCACAGGCAAGCAGAAGCTTTACCATTCATGGGGGAAATCTTGGAAGAAAGCTCTCATACCAGTTATAGGAGTGTCCAGGACTGTATTAGTAATCCCCCTGAGGATATATTGCACGGCCCGGGACTGCTTGGGCCGAAAACAGCGCACAGGAAGTTATGTCAACAGACAGCCAGAAACCGCTGGGAGGAAGCCGCTGTTGGTCTGAGTTGCGAGGCCTGGGTGGCTATCATCTGCATAACCATGACAACATGTTTCACGCTCCAAGCGCTGGTCATAGTTACACAGATACATACATACAAGGTGAATACCTACATATACTATATTGCCAAAAGTATAGGGACACCCCTCCAAATCATTGGATTCAGGTGTTGCAATTACCTCCATGGCCACAAGTGTATAAAATCAAGCACCTAGGCATGCAGACTGTTTCTGCAAATATTTGTGAAAGAATGGGTCACTTTCTGAAGATCAGTGAATTCAAGTGTGGTACCGTAACAGGTTGCCACCTGTGCAATAAGTCCATCATTGACATTTCCTTGCTACTAAATATTCCACGCTCAACTGTTAGCGGTATTGTAACAAAGTGGAAACAACTGGGAACAACAGCAACTCAGCAACGATGTGGTAGGCCATGTAGAATGACCGAGTGGGGTGAGCGCATACTGAAGCGCACAGTGCGCAGACGTCACTGACTGTCTGCAGAGTCAATAGTTAAAGATCTCCAAACTTTGTGTGGCCTTCATATTAGCACAACAGTGCATACAGAGCTCCATGGAAAATGGGAAATGGGTTTCCATTGCCAAGCAGCTGCATCCAAGCCTTACATCATCAAGTGCAATGCAAAGCGTCGGATGCAGTGGTGTAAAGCATGCCACCACTGGACTCTAAAGCAGCAGAGACATGTTCTCTGGAGTGACGAATCATGATTGTCTGGCTTGTCTGATGGGCTTGTCTGGGTTTGGGGATTGCCAGGTGAATGGCTCTTGCTTGACTGTATTGTGCCAAGTGTAAATTTTGGTGGAGGGGAGATTATGGTGGGGGGTTGTTTTTCAGGGGTTGGGCTTGGCCCCTTCCAGTTCCAGTTCCAGTGAAAGGAGCTCTTAAGGAGTCAGTATACCAAGACATTTTGGACAATTTCATGCTCCCAACTTTGTGGGAAAGGTTTGGGGGTGGATCCTTCCTGTTCCAACATGACTGCGCACCAGTGAACAAGGAAAGGTCCATAAAGACATGGATTAGCAATTTTGGGCTGGAGGAACTTGATTGGCCTGCACAGAGTCCTGACCTCAACCGGATAGAACACCTTAATTAGAGTGAATTAGAGTGGAGACTGCAAGCCAGGCCTTCCCATCCGACATCAGTGCCTGACCTCACAAATGCGCTTCTGGAAGAATGGTCAAACATTCCCATAGACACACTCCTAAACCTTGTGGACAGCCTTCCCAGAAGATTTGAAGCTGTTATAGCTGCAAAGGGCGGGGCCAACTCAGTATTTAACCCTACAGACTAAGACTGGGATACCATTAAAGCTCATGTGTATGTAAAGGCAGACATCCCAATACTTTTGGTAATATAGTGAATGTTCTATCCAGGGTAATCTTGGACACACATTCTTTTTTATGATGATTTTAACTTGATACACAATAAAATGTATTTTTTTTATTTTAGATTTAATAGTTATTTCTCTATTCCTGAGATTGCAGCACCTTAAAAAGTCTCATCTTTCTTTTCTCCTTATTACCAAACTATGTCTTTGTGAGGTTATGTGTGCCATAATGTGCAAGTGTATTATGTATACTGTATACTTGCACATTATGGTGTGACAGTCCACCCCCACCCAGAGACTTTAGATTCTTGTCACATCCACTAGCTATTTTAATAAAGTGATAACAATTGGTTCACTGATCATTCACCCCTATTCCAAATACAGTATTACATTCACATTAAATCTTGTTGGATCTTAATTTTTTTTCAGTGCTGTTAGGTGAACATATGAATGTAAATTTAAAATAGAGGTTTCAGTAATACACTCATCAAGTTAAAAAAAAAATCACCACATTATTATAACAGTCATTTAATTGATCTGTGATGAATCCTTAATTCCTTTAGCAGTACTGCCATGCTTGACCCTACTCACTTCTAATGGTACACAACAATGCAACAACTAACACCCTTAAAATTAAGTTTTTGGTCTTAAACCCACATTTGCATACACTGATATTTTACCTCTGTGCCTGCTAACAGGGAAGTTGTAACTATGGTGAACATCGAGTGAATAATGCCACCAAATGAGCATAGGCATGTACCTGAAATTGACCTAAATGTTTATACAGAAAATTTGCATTTTAGTTTCAAAATTGAAATGTCAGAAACAAATTTTCAAAGTTTAAAGCACTGGATGATACTTGATTTGCAATTCAAAATACAATATTATAAATGTCTTCTTCTATATATTCTTCATAATAAATTTACACATTGTGATGTCATCTATAATTGGGAAATCGTGCAATTAATAACGTTTATCTTATATGCACATTTATGCATATTTTTTATTATTAAACATGACAGAGAACATTGGAGTGGTAGGAGTTTTGCCAGAATTGAACTATATTAATTCTGCCCACATCATTGTATGACAGCAGAACTGCAGTGACTGAACAGGACAGGGATAATTAATAATTGAACAAATATTACTGTAAGTAATATAACATGCATTGAAAATGAAATTTAAGCTGTAAATCAATAATCCTTAAGTGACTATGCCTTTTTTATTAGCAATCTGTGTCTTTTGTTTCTAGGGAGAACAAAGGGATACCAGGTTGTTGGCTTTTGGCTCACCTGGCATTTATTTGACAAACAATTAACATTTGCAAAGGCAGTTTTAACACACCTTATGTGTTTTGTAAACATGTTTTTTTTCTACTGCTTGCTCATATGCTGGCTATTGAGTTTCAATATGCAGTAGTGCCCGTGCTAACTACTTACAACTTAAAGTGACACTGTTATGTGCAGGAACTAGACAGCTGTGAGTGAAGTACTGCCCCTAGTACAGATTCAATTCCAAGGTGCACACAGATGTACAGGCACAGGCCTACGGGTGCTCTGTTAGCTGTGCACAAAGGTGTGCCTAACAGACTATTTAAAGTGATTATAAAGCCTTTTTTTAAATAACAAACCTGTCTATACTTACCTGCTGTGTGCATAGCACAGAGCAGCCAGGGTCCTCCTCTTCTTGGGTCCCCCACCAGTGCTCCTGGCCCCTCCCTCCTGCAGCTTGCTATGGGGGCACCCACTGCTGTTTAATCATTCCCACACAAAGCCGTGGCTTGGCCTCACCCCTTGTCTCTTCTCATTGGCTCACTGGCTGTGATAGCAGTGGGAGTCAATGGCTCCTGCTTCTGTCTCAGCCAATGAGGAGAGAGAGTCCAGGGAAAGCCAAGACTCCAGTGCAAATCGCTGGATCGAGAGGGGCTTAGGTGAGTATTGGGGTGGGCTGGGGGAGATGTTGCACAGAGAAGCTTTTGTATCTTCATGCATTGAATGCATGAAGGTAAAAAAACCTTCAGTCTTTAGAACCACTTTAGGTTCAGTAACTGCTCTAGTCAGTTGCTATCTGATCATTTTCTGTGCCAGTTCCTGTACTTGACTTCTGTGATTAACCCAGCTTGTCTTGACCACGCTTTGCCGCTACCTGCCCTGACCTCAGCTTGTCTCTGTATCCTGCTTTGCCTCCTGCTCATCTGCCTGCTCCATGACGTTGACCTGTACTCTGACCATTCTTCTGCCTGCTGTACATGCCTGATTTGACCATCTGTTACCAATCTGGCCTGCATGACCTCACATCCTGTCTTGTCCTGTCTGCTCAGCATCTCCTGACCAGCACACTACTTGCCTGTTCCTTGCTGGTCATCTGCCAGCTAAGTGCCTGCAAGCCTGCCCTGCACCAGCGGTCAGTCTTCTGCCAACCAAGCAACTGCCAGTCTGCCATCTGTCAGTTTGGGGTCTGCTGCACCTGTTGCCATCTGCTGTCCTGGCCATCTAATTTGTACCTGGTGAAGCACCAGCCACTTGCCTGCGCAGTCTGTTGGACACTCTACAGGCACTTGTACCTCACTGCCCTCTTGCGGCCACTGTCTCACTACCGGTAGTTACATAGTAGGTAAGGTTGAATAAAGACACCAGTTCATCCAGTTCAACCTGTGTGTGTGTTCATGTCAAAAATCATATCCCACATCCCTGTATACTGTGTTCGCTAAGAATAGTTGCAGAGTTGGTCTTTTGTGGTCACTGAGTGGGATATTCTCCCTCTTCACGTCAGTCTCTACAACAAGGTATATGACAATAGCATATTATCATAACCTCAAATGACATTAGAAAATAAATTAGCTGGAAAATTACTCTGTTGCTATAATGTGGTGGTGGTCCAGAGGAATGAAAACAACATGGCCAGCCACAAGCATACACATAATGATGCACTCCATGTGCCAATAAGAGATTAAGCCAAACAAATTTACAAATGTCTGGATATGGGAGAATACATAATGATGACTGACTGGAGTGAGATACTCAACCATAATTACCACCTATCTAGGGCTGCAGGTCAAGCCTGGGCTGAAACAACCAACTACCTTACTCAGAGGCTTTCAAAACATGGTGCTCTTGGCCTGCACTCATAAAAACCAAACAACTTGAGAAGAAAGTGGGGAACTGGACAATGGTTTCTAAAACCAGACTGTCTGGTTCAAAAATGGATGGATGGCCCCTAATACTTTTGTAATTTCCCTTAATAACAAGCAAGACCTTTGCATGTGCCCAAAGGAAGCGCTAAGGAGTCTGCCCAAGTTTCTGTGCCCAACTTGAGAGGGGGAGAAGAGCTTCAGGAGAGGAATGGCATTAAGACCTACAGTGATTGCAGTGGGTGACAATTCATCATCAAGGTTTCCCTCCCTCCTAAATGTCACTTATTCATCTTAATTATCTTTTTGTGTACCAGTTGTGCCCAGTAACTGTGAAGTTGACCTCTCAATCAAATATATTGCCCATGGGACTTTAGAGAAGTTGCACCAGACAACAACAGGCTAAAAAAAAATCTTAACAAATCTGATTTGTATTCACATACAGCATTTAAATTAAAACCATAATAAAATACCATGAAACATATCAGAACATGATGGATAAATGCATAATAGTACCTATCAAACTAGACATTTGATATCCCAACATGTTTCATGAAATAACATTCACTTCCTCGGGAGATATAAATGTTTCATAGAAGCTGACGATGGCACGGACTGGGAGCTTAATGTGAGAGCTCGCGGATAGCTGGCACTCCCTGGGACCTGCAAGACATGAATGACTAGGAGGCTTCATCTTACTTGGGGCTTGGGGCCGCGGTCTCTTGGGTAGTTTACTGTGGAAAGGGCCCCTGTGCGGAGGGCTAACGGAGATGGGCAGAGGAGCTGCGGCAGGAGGTCAGAGAGAGAGAGGAGGCAGCCGCCTGGAAGGGAGGAGGACCCAGCTGGAGACTGGAGTGACGGTTGCCGGGTGGTGACTTGGCCACTATGGAGGAGTGGGCGGAAGCCAAAACCTCGGAGAGACAACAAGGAGTGAGCGGCAGGCAGGAGATGGAAACTATTAATGGAGGCCACTCCAGATTATCTGTGGGAATATCTAATATGAGTCAAAATGCTGAAGGGGAAGATATTGCAAATGAGTCGGTTATGGAAAACTTTGAAGAGCAAGGGACACTAAAGCTGATATAGCAGACATGTTTATGAGACTGGAACGCACTATTAAGCAGGAGATGGCAATAATACATAAAGATCTGGGGCAAGTTCTGTCATGGGTAGAAGAGACCAAGGGGAAATAAGCATGCCCAAACAATAAC